CCACACCTGGCCCTGCCACCGCACCCCTTGGGGCAGAGGTCCTGGCCCGGGCCCTGCCTTCCCTGTCCGGGGCGCCCTGGAGGCCGGCGGGCGGCTCTGCGCCCGGCCTGGCGCTTCGGAGATGTCTGCGAGTGTCCTCTGCACCGCCAGGTCTGTCCGCCGCCCAGCACGAGGGCCCAGCGCCCGGCCCGGCTCCATGGAGCACACAGCCGGCCCTCTCCTTTCCTCGGGGGTAGGGTGAGGGGCGGGGGGCTCTCTGGCCCCCACTGCGGGCCTCTGGGGCCCCTCCACCAGGCCCTGGTGCCCTGCCAACCCCGGCCCGACCCGTCCGCTGGCCGCCCCCAGGGCAGCGGCCGAGCTGTGGCGCAGCCTGAGCCGGAACCAGCGTGTGAACGGGCAGGTGCTGGTGCAGCTGCTGTGGGCGCTGAAGGGCACCTCGGGGCCAGAGCTGCAGGCCCTGGCGGTAGGTGGCTGCGGGGGCCTCCTGGGCCTGGGGCGCCCCGGCCCGGTCGCCACCTGGCGGCTGCTGAGCTGAGAGCCGCTTGCTCCACAGGCCACGCGAGCCCTGGGGGAGATGCTGACCGTGTCGGGCTGCGTGGGCGCCACGCGGGGCTTCTACCCGCACCTCCTGCTGGTGCTGGTCACCAAGCTGCACGAGCTGGCGCGGGGCGCCTGCCCCCCGGACAGCCCCAAGGCCCTGCCCCACCGAGGGCCGCCCCACAGCCACGCCAGGTGAGGGCTGCACTGCGGGGGGGTGGGGGGACTGGCCCGCGCCCGCCCCCCCTCACCCCTGGCCTGCTGCCCCTGCAGCTGCGCCGTGGAGGCCTTGAAGGCCCTGCTCACCGGGGACGGCGGCCGCATGGTGGTCACCTGCATGGAGCAGGCAGGCGGCTGGCGGCGGCTGGCAGGCGCCCACACCCACCTAGAGGGCGTCCTGCTCCTGGCCAGGTCTGGGCTGGGCCCGCAGGGTGGTGGCGGTGGCGGGGGGGGGCGGCTTCTGCCAGCGGCCCTGAGCTTCCCGCCCGCAGTGCTCTGGTGGCTCACGCTGACCACCACCTCCGGGGCCTCTTCGCCGACCTGCTTCCCCGGCTGCGCAGCACCAACGAAGCCCAGCGCCTCACCGCCATGGCCTTCTTCACCGGGGTGAGCTCGCTGCCCGGTGGGGGGGGGAGGGCGGCCAGGCAGCAGGGAAGCGACGCGCTGACCGGCCCGCGCGCACGCAGCTGCTGCAGAGCCGGCCCACCGCGCGTCTCCTGCGGGAGGAGGCCATCCTGGAGCGACTCCGCGCCTGGCAGGGCGACCCCGAGCCCACCGTCCGCTGGCTGGGACTGCTGGGCCTGGGCCACCTCGCGCTGAACCGTGGGAAGGTGAGGCCGGCCGGGCGGGGCGGGCGT